CCTCTAGTTAGCAGCATTGTGGGCGCCATCTCTCTACAGATCCATCAGAAAGATTAGGAGCCAGAGCCATCAGTACCAAACAACAGCTGCCACTATGACTCCCTCTTCCCCTCCTTCTGCCCCACTCTCCTCCCTCCCTCTCTGCCTGCCACCGCCTCCCCCTCTCTGATGGCTGTTTTGGGGGGCATTGCAGATGGGTGGTGGAGGGACGCTGCCACCGTGATCCCCCCTTTGCCCACAGGCAAGGAGACGTGGGGAAGCCCTGCTGCTTGTGAAGCTGGGGCGTGTTCACTGCCTCCACAAACTTCCCCAGCAGCGGCTCAAACTTGGGCCCATGCAGCCAATCATTGCCCACCCTCTCGGTGGTGTATGCGCAGCTGGCCAAAAGTGTTATGGACAGACAGACACACTATGCCCTTTATTATATTAGAATAAACCAGTGATTAGATTTTCTTTTGCTAAAAGAACACCTCCCCACAACGTGTCCTCCAATCCATAGTTTTTATACGGTTATGGGAGACAAAAATGTTGGCTCGTATGGTTTTGCCATATTAAAAGAACAAACGTGTATTACAGGCTAAATGTATTTCTTGGGAAATTGTTTAAAAATGATGAACTAGTCAAAGGTTGCAAAACCAGCCACATTTGGTCACTAGTTTCATAGTTAGTAGGGTCAGAAGGGACCTGAGCAGATCATCAAGTCTAACCCTCTGCCATGGCAAGAAAGACTACTGGGGTCAAATGACTCCAGCAAGGTGATTGTCAAGCCTTGTCTTAAAGACCCCCAAGGTAGGAGCGAGCACCACTTGGCTTGTAAGTTGGTTCCAGATCCTAGCCACCCTGACAGTGAAGTAGCGCCTTCTGATGTCTAATTTGAATCTACCCTCTGCCAGCTTGTGACTGTTATATCTAGTCACTCCTGCTTGCTGGTCCCTTCTGACTAGTTTGTAACAGGCCACTAGATCCCCCCTCAGCCTTCTCTTGTGGAGGCTGAACAGGTTCAGGTCCCATAGCCTCTCCTCGTAGGGCCTGCCCTGCTGCCCCCTGATCATGTGAGTGGCCCTCCTCTGGACCCTCTCCATGTTGTCCACATCCCTCTTGAAGTGCGGCACCCAGAACTGGACGCAGTACTCCAGCTGTGGCCTGACCAGTGTCGCATAGAGGGGAAGGATCACCTCCCTGGACCTGCCTGAGATGCATCTGTGGATGCATGACAAGGTGTGGTTGGCCTTCCTAACTGCATCCCCACACTGCCGGCCCATGTTCATCTTGGCATCAGTGACGACTCCAAGATCCTTTTCTGCCTCTGCACTGACGAGAAGGGAGTTCCCCAGCCTG